AATGCCTCTTGTGTAGGCAGAGCCTGGGCTCCAGCGGTGTCCGTCCCGGGGAACGGTGAGACGGGCCGGTCAGGCCATCCTGGCTCGGTCGCGTGATGTGCGATGCGCTCGGTGCTCGGACGTGCAGGGAGCTCCTCGATGGAAGTTGTTGCTAGGGGATGGTTTTGTTCAGAGTGACAGCCAGAAGCGTGGAAAGCAAAGCAAGGGTGTAACAGACCTCCTGGGTCAGAGAGGTAGGAATGATGCCCGCTGTCACAGAGACTGGTTGGGGGTGGGGAGCACTGGGACAGGTTCCCAGAGAAGCTGTGGATGCCCCATCCCTGGGAGTGTCCAAGGCCAGGCTGGATGAGGCTGGGAGCAACCTGGGCTGGTGGAAGGTGTCCCTGCCCATGGCAGGGGGTGGCACTGGGGGTCTTTAAGGCCCCTTCCCACTTAAAGCATCCCGCGGGTCTATGAAATAAGACAACGCTGCTTTGATGCAAGTGTAGATGGGGTGCAGGTGTGTGAGTCGGTGAGTTTGTACCCGGGGTACATTCAAAGTGACTGAAGTCCCGATTGAATTCATTAGCAGCAGATTTCTTTGGAAGCTTTTTGTTTCTAATCCCATTGTGCTTAGAGCCATGGGCCAAAAGGGCCTGGTCCCCATCCTTGTGGGGTGACATCAGGGAACCCCTGAGCATCAAGGGTTTTGCTCAGTGAAGGGGCACTGATCCACCTCCCCTTCGCTGAGCTCCGAGCTGAGCGCAGCTACGGCCCCGCAGCAGTCGTGCACCCCCGTGAACGGCCCGTGCTCCGTGCTCATCCTTCGTTTTATCGGATGTGCCGTTGCCCTAGGAAAAATACTTTTTGAGAAGCTTCTTTTGACTGTTGTGCTTCACCCACATGTCAGCGTGTGAAAAAGCTGAAAGGGCTGTTCGTTCTGATTTGCCTGGTCTTTGAACAACGCAGACAGTAACGCTGCTTAGAGTGACCCACAGGATGAAGCCAGAGGTGGAAAAAGCAGAGTCCCTTGTCTGGCTGGACGCAGGTGGTAGCTGTAACAGCTGGAGAAGTGTGAGGTTTCAGGGAACGAAGAGAACAACGTTCTGGAAGATCTCAGTGTGCTCCATGTGTCCTTCCCTTGCAGTTTCCCAGGCCGGGCCTGCAGCAGACACAGCAGCAGCAGCAGACGGCGGCGCTGGTCAGGCAGCTCCAGAAGCAGCTCTCCAGTAAGTCAGAAGGACACCCTCCAACAGCAGAAGGACACGGAGCTGTGGGAGCGAGTCCAGAGGAGGCCCCGGAGATGCTCCGAGGGCTGGAGCCCCTCTGCCCTGGGGACAGACTGGGAGAGTTGGGGGGTTCAGCCTGGAGAAGGGAAGCTCCGGGGAGACCTCAGAGCCCCTTCCAGTGCCTGGGGGGCTACAAGGAAGCTGGGGGGGGCTTTTCCCAAGGGCAGGGAGTGACAGGACAAGGGGTGACGGGTTTAAACGGAAAGAGGGAGATGGAGATGGGACATCAGGAAGGAATTCTTCCCGCAGAGGGTGGGGAGCACTGGGACAGGTTCCCAGAGAAGCTGTGGATGCCCCATCCCTGGGAGTGTCCAAGGCCAGGCTGGATGAGGCTGGGGGCACCCTGGGCTGGTGGACGGTGTCCCTGCTGGTGACCCAGCTGGTGACCCAGCCCAGCAGCGCTGCGATACCGAAATTCCAGTGCTGGTGCATCCCCTGGATTTGTGTCAATCCCCAGAGGAGCCGAGGCACCTGCAGGACCGGGGCTGGTGGCCCGGTCACCGTTTGCTGCGTGTCCCCACTCCCGTTGTGCTGCCGCCGGCGAAGCCCCCGAGGAAGGCAGCCCCCGGCGGGTTGGTGGGCGCCGCGTGTCAGGGCGGGGTGCTCCGCGTTTCGGAGGGGTACAAACGCCTCCCTGTGCTTTACCAACCAGGTAACCAGCCCCAGCAAGGAGTGAACCAGTACGGGCATCCTTCCCACTTCTGAGGCGGCGGCGGAAGGGAGCCCCCCGGTCCCGCTTGCACTGAAGCGCCGAACTCTCGAACTCGATGCACTAGTTCTTGGGAGAAGCAAACGAGTTCCCGTCTTGTTTCAATGATGGTTTTTGTGCTGCCGTTGGTGTGAATATGTAATGAGGTGGGGTTTGGGGGTTTGGGGATTTTTTTTTTGCGTTTAACTAGATTTAAATGTATGGACTTGTGGGCCTATTTGAAGAATGTTATTGCCGATTTTCTGAATTTGGTGCTTTTTAGGTCCTGTTACGTTTAAGGAGGACAGAGAGTGGTGGATTTATTTATTTGTGGCAAACACCTTTTTGGTTTTGTTTCTTTTTTTTTTTTTTTAAAGAACTGCACTGGACCAAACTCCTGAACTGAACGGCACTTCCCATTTTGGCATAAAAGTTAATTTGTTCATTACAATGTTCTTCTCTCTCTTTGTTGGCAGAACAAGCATCGATTTCAATTGTGTTTATTTGACTGTAATTTTCATATGCACTTTATAAAGTTCCTTGCTCAAGGTACCAGTTTTCTCCTTGTGGTCAGAAGGTGCTGAAGTGGGTTTACTGCTTGTACTAGAACTTCTTAAAGTTTATATTTAAAGCCACAGTGTACCGTTAATAAACCTACTAGAAGTAGCAGCGTTTCCTATTTGGTCTCTTTGGTAGAAAGCTCACGGGTGACGGGCTGGAAAGGAGCGCGGCGTAGGAACGGGATCGATCCGCCCACACGGGTTTTGCCTAGGGAGAACTCCAGGTCCTGGGACAGGGAATCTCCGTGTCTCGCTCGATGCCTTCGGTAACAAACCCCGTGGCAGCTTTCACTACATGAAGGGGGGGAAGAGCCACCCAAGTCCTTTCTGCAGCGTCAGCGGTGCCGCAGCCCACAGCTCTTTGTGCGGGAGCCCCCGCAGAGGAGTTACCTGTCACCCGCGGCGTTGCACGGTCAGTGCTTCCCGCTCGGGGCTGAGTCTCCATCGCCGGCTGAGCTTCAGGGGCAGAATGTGTCATCTGTTACCGGCTGCGGGCAGAAACGCACGTAAATTACAAATCCAAAAGCCTACAAGCAGGTCGTTACTGTTCAAACCTGTACAAATATGTCATCATTTCACCTGGATTAGAGTTGAAAAGAAACAGAATAAATTTCTTACCATTTTCTGTCATTTAGGGGCTAGTCCATGGGATTTATGTTTAAAAAAGGGGGTTCATTTGGAAAGTGGAACCTGCAGGGCGTTTAAAATACACGTAGGTCCTTTTTTTATTTCCACTGTTTTGTATTAACTCAATTTGCATGATTTGCCAGGCACAGAGTTTGCAGATGGCGTCAGTCGGGTGTGGAGGGAGAAGACTGCGGCGGCGGCGGAGGCAGCACCGCCCGCTGACGGAACGGTACGGAGACCTCCAGAAAAGCAGCTTGTGATCGGCTTTTAGAAGAGCCGGGTAAGTCTCGCTCATGTAAAAATTATTCCTGTCGGGGTTTTTTAAGGATATTTACGGTTGGAGCTGCTGCTCCATCCACGCCGCGGAAGGAGGGAACACGCCCGCAGGGAACTGCACGTGGCTGACGTCGGGAAACGAGCAGCCCAGCACAAAAGCAGTCCCGGCTGAGGTTGCAGTCTTTCAAAAATACAGGTAAGTAAGTCAAAAGATACTCTCTCTTGGGAAGAGAGTAAGGAGCTCTGAGCTTTGGTTACCGGCTTAATCTTCTAAAGATTCCTCTGACCAGTCCAGCCCGTGATTTGTTAGTGTCAGATGTGTAGGTAACCATCCCCCCCGCTGGAAGGTGGGTTTCCCCCCGGGTACAGAAGGTTGCTGGGGAGGTGGGTTTCCCCCCGGGTCGAGAAGGTTGCTGGGGAGGTGGGTTTCCCCCCGGGTACAGAAGGTTGCTGGGGAGGTGGGTTTCCCCCCGGGTACAGAAGGTTGCTGGGGAGGTGGGTTTCCCCCCGGGTACAGAAGGTTGCTGGGGAGGTGGGTTTCCCCCCGGGTACAGAAGGTTGCTGGGGAGGTGGGTTTCCCCCCGGGTACAGAAGGTTGCTGGGGAGGTGGGTTTCCCCCCGGGTACAGAAGGTTGTTTCTGAGACCCGACTGCATTGAGAAACGAGAATTCTGAAGTTACACGCAAACTGATGCAGTTGTTTCCTGGAGGGACATCTTTCAAACCAGCTTTCAGAAGGTTGCTGGGGAGGTGGGTTTCCCTGGGTACAGGAGGTTGCTCGGGGGAGGGGTGTCCCCCCGGGTACAGAAGGTTGTTTCTGAGACCCGACTGCATTGAGAAACGAGAATTCTGAAGTTACACGCAAACTGATGCAGTTGTTTCCTGGAGGGACATCTTTCAAACCCGCTTTTGTGACACTGGGAAAACGGTGCCAAACTCAGGGTGTGTCTGCGTGCCGTCTGCGTGCTTTTTCTGAACGGCACGAGGCAGAGCTTACGCTCTCGTGTCAAAGTGCCAACAAAGTCGTTCTGTATTTGTCATCCAAAGTCCTGCACAGAGTCAGTGTGGCACAGAGCTTATTCTTAAAAACCACTTCACTGCTTGTTTCACCACTGAATATTTATTAAAAAACCATACTAAATGCTCAAACGTATGAAGAAGGTAATCTGCATGGCAATAAAATCCGCTCCCTGGTTCTCAGTCCTGCTTTACGTGATCCATGCCCTTGCCGGCCAAGGTGGGCGATACTGAACCGATACAGGAAGTCTGTCCTTTACGGAAGAGCTCTGGGTACGTTCCCAGAAAGTCATTTGGTGTTTGCTGTTTGCTGGCAGAGCAGAAGTGCCTTAAGCGTGGTTCATTTTAGACCTGTTCAGCGACTGCAAGAGCCAGTGCTCGGGATTAATGCTGGATCTCGCCGTCCCCGAGCCCTTCCGCTCCTTTCTTGCGCGGTCACTGCGGACGGAATGCCGTAACCATCTTCAGGCACTGACATCCCCGCGGCAGCCCTTGCGGAACCTACCCCGAGACTGAGCTCGGTGCACTGACTTCGGTACCCGTCGTTCCTGCTGCGTTCCGCGCTTCAGATGACGTGAAGGTACGTTACCGCGACATCGCTGCCGAGGCGGTTCTTCGCTGTGCACTTGTAGGCGCCGGAATCCGAGGGTCGGGGGTTCTGGATGAGCAGTGTCCCCGGGGGGCGAAGCCGTTCGCTCCCAGATGCTCGGCCTGGGTTACCTGTGGAGAGTACGGAGCGGTCAGGCAATTCCCAGGTAATCTCTGGGCTTGGCATCCCCAGTGCTGCGCAGTGGAGCTGAACGGCCGCGCCGGGCAGGGTGTGCATGGCCCGCGGGGGTCTGTTGGTGATCCGCGGGGGATACGCCACGATAACGACCGGGATGGTGACGGAGGACTCGCCAGCGCTGTTGTGGGCCTTACAGACGTAATCTCCTCTGTCGTGGATGGTGGCTTCCCGTATCACCAAGGTACCGTTTTCCAGCAGGATGTGTTTCCCGTTGATCTGCGGTCGGTCCAGCACGTAGCCGCCCGGCAGAGTCCACGCTGTACGTGGCTTGGGACTCCCATCAGAGGAGCAGGGAAGTGACAGCGGCTCCCCGCTCACGCCCGTCACTGGCCCCGTCGGGCGAGCGAGAATGCTGGGCTTCTGGCCGACTTCCAGGACGACCAGCTTCTCAATATAGCCGACCTGATTCCTGGCAGCACAGCGATACCTCCCCGCTTTGTCTCCGTCGGGATTATGGATGGTAAGGGTGCCATCGCTTCCCGTGAGAAACTGGGAGGTCCTGATGCCGCTGGAGAACCAGGTGCCGTTAGGCAACATCCAGCTTACGTCAGGCGGGGGGTTTCCATCCACAGAACAATTCAGCGTGGTAGATTTCCCAGGTTTCGCTATTATTTTTTCATTGAATGGGTTTTTAAACATCGGTCGCCTCAGCATTTCCAGCACCTCGAGCTGCACCACCAGCACGCTCTCTCCCCCGTCGTTGCGTGCCACGCAGATGAAGTCTGCTGTGTCCGAAGGCCTTAAGTTCCGAATCTCCAGTGTCCCATTCCTGTGCACCATGATCCTGCTCCCGTAATAGGGAGCTGTTACGAAAATGTTGTCAGGCATGATCCACATAATCTGCGGGGGGGGCGTCCCTTCCGCCCGGCAGTCGATTTGCTTCTTCGAATGCCTCACGGCCGTCACTTTCATGACTGTTCTGTTGGCGTCTAAACCGTTTATGACAGGCGGTTTAGCAACAACGTCCAGCTTGTACAGTTTCGTATCGTCCCCTCCGGGATTGCGAGCAACGCACGTGTACTCCCCGGCATCTGACAGCTTGACGCCCGCGACGGACAGAGACCCGTTGGCGTGCAGGAGGTGTCTGTCTGCCGACGAGGAGATCACGTCGCTGGAAGGCAGCAGCCAGAATATTTTTGGCTTGGGTTCTCCGCCAGCTTCGCAGTCCAGCAGCGCCGTGTCTCCGGCTTGCACTGCACGGCGTGTCTCGTAGCCGTGCTTTATACCACGACGACCGTGAGGCGTACCTTCATTTCGTCTCTCCCCAGCGTGTTTTGGGCGTAGCAGGTGTAATCTCCTCCTTCTGTCACTCCAACTCTGTCCAGATACAGAGTTCCGTTGTCGAAGAGGATGTACCTGCGAGACCGGCGTCCGCTGTCATCCGCCAGCATCGCGTTGTTGATCACCGTCCCATCGGGCAAACTCCAGGATATTTCGGGTGCGGGTGATCCCGAGGCCTTGCAGTCCACCTTGAAATCTTTTCCGTATGGCACCACCTTCTTGAAATACTGTTTCTGGTCGATCCTGGCCGGTTTCATTGCGACGCTGACTTTCATCAGGATCAGGTCATCTCCGATCTTGTTTCTTGCAACACACAAATAGTCACCTGCATCCTTTTCCGTAACTGCCTCGACAGCCAAGGATCCGTTGGGGTACACGCGGATTCGACTTCCCATCCTGTTGTGGGGGAAGAGAGGAAATGAATTACGGCACGAAGCACGGGGGGCGAACAGCGAGCGTGGAAAGCACACCCGCGGCTCTTCCCCGGGCCGGGGGCAGCTCCCGGTGCTGCTGCCCGGCCTGTTGTCCAGAGGGACACTTGGCACCCTGGGATGGCTCCCTGAGCCCTTCCTGCGGCACGACAGGGACCTGGGGCTCCCTCTGCCCAGCTGCTAGTTCTCATGAGCTCCTTAGGAACATCCTGGGCTGGGACTGTCCCTCCCAAAGCGAAGGTGAAGTGTCACCGTGGGAGGGGGCGTGGGAGGGTAGACAGCAGAGACTACAGAGGCCTCTTCCTCCCCAGCCCTGCTTCCCAAATCTCGCACAAACAACTCTTCCTCCTGCGAAAGGGCCAGAACTCAGCCCGTGTGTGACTAACAGCAGCTTCCTGAGTTCAAGTCAGACTCGTCCCTTTTGGCAGGACCTCCCCCACTTCGACAGCTGGTGTGGGCTGTTGTTAGACATACCTGAAGGGGCTCCAGGGAAGCTGGGGGGGACTTTTCCAAGGGCCTGTAGTGACAGGACAAGGGGTAACGGGTTTAAATTGAAAGTGGGAAGGTTTAGATTAGATATCAGGAAGGAATTCTTCCCGCAGAGGGTGGGAGCACTGGGACAGGTTGCTCAGAGAAGCTGTGGATGCCCCATCCCTGGGAGTGTCCAAGGCCAGGCTGGATGAGGCTTTGAGCATCCTGGTCTAGTGGAAGGTGTCCCTGCCCATGGCAGGGGGGTTGGAACTAGATGGTCTTTAAGGTCCCTTCCAACCCAAACCATTCCGTGATACAAGCACGAGCCGTCACCACAGGTATTTCCCCACTCCTAAGCACTAAAAGTGAGTTTAGTTCACGACGTTTCAGTGATGTGACAGTCCCTCACGCCAGCACCAGAGGGGACGGCGTTGGAAGTTTCAAGGAGGTGGGGGAAAGCAAAGCCGCTCCTACCTGTGCCACTGGTCAGCAAGCGCCTTGGAAGGTAACCTCCAGAGGATCCTGGGCTTCGGCTCCCCGGTCGCTGTGCAGTTCAGAAGCAACTGATCCCCAAAATTCAGCCGAGTCATTTCTGGAGAGGCGGTAACTATTTTCGGGAGCGTGTCTCTGTGTTCCACCACGAGGCTGACCACCCGCCTTTCCGAGCCCGTCGAGCTTGTGGCTATGCACTCGTAGTTCCCGCTGTCGGAAGGAGCGGCGTTGCGGAGGCGGAGGGTGCCGTTGGGGAACAGGAACAGCTTTGCCTTCACCAGCTGCAGCGGTTTCACCACGGTGCCATCGAAGAGGACCCAGTGAACGGTGGGCTGAGGCTTCCCTTCCACGGTGCAAGGCAGCTGGAGGTCCTCCCCCATCCCTCCTTCCACACGCTGTCTCTTCTCTTCCCGAATAGCGGGAGGAGGCGCAATGACCTGCAGTCTCACGGCCCGTGTGGCAGTGCCCGCTGGGTTCTTGGCTACGCACGTGTAGAGGCCCCTGTCGTACACCGTCACCTCCTCGATGAGTAACGTGCCGTCCGGCTCCACGTGAGCTTTGCTATTCCCCGGGGAAGAGCTGGAGACACGCGTCTCATTTGCTAGAACCCACCAGACGGAGGGAGGGGGCCTGCCCTCCGCTTGGCACTTCACTGCCACCGGCTTTCCGGAGTGGGCGGTGAGGAGCTGCCACGTGCCGCCGGCGATGCGGGGCGCG